TAGACATAAGCTATGGGAACTGAGATTTTGTTAATACCGCATTTACTTGTATAACTTCACCCACATCCCCCCATTATATTCATGAGTATGTGAGTCCCAGTTCTCCACTGCTTTCAGAAATCACCCTCTGGGGATTTTCTGACTTACTAAACAACAGTAGTTTAATAAACTACTGCAGCAACCAGTGGCAATGTTAATTAGAATGGGGATCTCCTGACATGTTTTCTTTACTTCAGCAATTCCTCCATTCCTCAACAGGGCTGTTAAGAAGAGCCATTCCAAGGAGCTATACTAATTTGGGTAAAGCAATAGTTTATGTGAATGTGTGCATGTGAAAGCACACATGCCTACAGTTGTAGATGTGTGTGTGTGTGTGTGTGTGTGTGTGTGTGTGTGTGTGTGTGTGTGTGTGTGTGCATGTGCCTGTAAGGGATACATCAGAGCACCAGAGGAAGGAAACTGATGTGGGAGAAAGGGGTGTGTACATAGACTATTCTTTCTCCCCTGTGAGGTATCCTATTACTGATAACTATACAATGGAAAGAAGAGGGTGTGGATTCCTATTCTAGCATTTATAGGCACTAGTGGCTCAACAACCTGGCAACCCAAAGAAAATATTGAAGTATGCACAAGGAGAGACAGTTAGGATTGACTCATTCTCTTCTCTTCTGAAACAGCGAGTCCAGAATGTTCTCCTCATGCAGCTGATTTCCTATTACAAATCCAAGCCATCTTGTAGGTCCATGAGCTTCAGATGGTAGCTGGCTTGTTTAAAAACACCAAAGGGGAAGGGGATTTAGGTTTCTCTGCATGTCTTCATTGATAGAACTACGGTGTTTTCTAGAACATATCTGGCACATTTTAAACTCTTGCTGTTCAGAAAAATAAATCTTAACATATAAGAAACAACTTTTCCATTTATAGTAGAAGGGAAGCTTAAGTACTTGAGTAATAGTAACAGTTGTTTGGAATCACACTTCCTCACACAAAACTTGGAAGAGAGCTAACATTAAAGTCATGCCTCTGCATTTGCTTCTACATTGTGGGGTTTTGTTATCATTGTTGTTTGCACTTTGTTTTTCTTCTTAAGACAGGGTCTCACTCTGTAACCTTACCTGTCTCTGTCTCCCCAAAATGCTGGGATGAAAGGCGTGTGTCACCACCAGCTACATTTCATAGTTTTTAAACTATAGAATCAAAGTTTCGATGACACTTCCTTTTCTTTCTACTATGTATGTCTAACTCTCTCAGAACCCATAGTTCAGGGCATAAGGGACCAAAAATATGTTGTGCATTCTCTGTGATCAGTAGATAGCTTGTTGCTCGATAATAGAAGAACAGGTTTGGAATAATGCAAACCTAAACAGATGCTTCAGGAACTTGAGGCAGAAGAACATGGAAGCTTCCTACAAACATTATTTAAGCTCTAAACTTGTTAGAAAGTTCATGCCACGGTGACAAAGAACATAAGGAATGTGCTTTCCGATTTCTGTGCAACTTACTGTTCAGTGAGAGTCTAATCATTCACCACGTAATTCTATCATTTCCATTCACAGCAGCCCAGGGTTTTTTTGAAGTTCTAAATTATAGACTCCCTGGATCCCCTCTCAATTTCCTTCTCTCTCATGCCTCATCCATTCTTCCTCATGTATGCTTCATTCAGTCTATGCTTGCCACCATTTCTAAGATCTCTAGTCCAGGCCTGAAGTTCTGCTGAATCTCATTAGTTCCGAACCTGTAATCCCCATTGTCTGCTGGCTCCTCACTTAGATATCCAAGAAGGTCTGCAAATTAACAGTCAGAATTCAATCCCCAACTCTCTCCATTATTCCTTGTTCCATATCTCAATACACTGTCTGTTTCTCAGGTAATGCCCTTCCTGTCCCTCAAACTTAAATTCATCATTGGATGCCCTATAATATAAGACAAACTACATTATTTGTATCTTAAAATAAAGACAAGCAAATATTTACTATATAATGTTCAAAACCTGACCATGGTGTGGCAGTTAAGTGCCTAAGGTTATGAAAGTTCATTTCCCCATTATGTCTACTAGGTATACACTCTCCCCTTTATTGAGGGAAAGAAAGGTTCTTGCTCCCTCCAGGGAAGGCCCTTTCTACTTCAGTCAGGAGTTGATTCCAAAGGTTAATATTCTGATCTCAATTCTGACCAGTTGCATGAAAGGAAAAAAGTCAACCTTCAGTTTTCAGCCCAAGGATGTGAAAAAAATCATTAAGGAAAGAAGAGCAGAGTCATGAGCAGGATAGATAGTTCTGAGGACAGGGTGGCATCCAGGAACAGTTATAGATAACCCATAGCTACACACCTCCAGACTCAGTACCAAAGGCACTGATAAGGTCCACCACATGGAAGATTGTTAGCTTGTGCTTTATAGTGAAAGTGTTTCCAGTTAATACATGAGGTCTTTTTAGATAGATGTTCATCTACATTAGTAGATTCCCAATAAATTGACCTCAGTTCTTCACACTGAACACATTTGTGTGTGTGTGTGTGTGTGTGTGTGTGTGTGTGTGTGTGTGTGTGTGTATGTGTGTGTGTGATATGTAGATTTTCAGGTTTCCTCAGAAAGTACGCCATTTTCTTTCCCCCATCCTGGTAATCCTCTAGAAATCACTCTTTTATCTATCAAAGCACCAAATTAATCTTTCCAATGTTAGTGTCTTACAGAAGAATTCACTTTTTTTCTATTTCATCTCTTATTTTATTATATATCACATCTTATTTTTTATCAACTGAACTAGGGATCTACAGATAATTGGTAAAGCATTATTTTAAACTCTGTGAGGTAGTTTCTGCAAGGGATGAATATTTGAATCAACAGAAAATGATGCTCACCAACAATGAGTAAGCATCTTGCCATCCAGTGAGGGTCTAAAATGAAGAGGACAGATTCCCTTCTCTCTTCTTGAACTGGGACTTCCATTTTCTCCCATGCTTGGATATTGACACTGTGGTTTTTAATCTTCTAAACTCAGACTGTGACTTGTACCATTGACACTGTGCTTGAACTGCATTATGCCATAGGATTTCCTGGACCATCAGCATGTAAATAGCAGGTCTTAATCTTTCAAGCTTCTATAATGATGTGAAGATACCCCTCATAATAAATCTTTCTGTACATGCATATCTATTGGTTTTGTTTCTTTGGACACCACTGACTAAAGTAAGCACTACATTACAATGACATACTTGTCTATCAATAGACTATTAATAACCAGTGTAAGGATATTTGATTGATCATTATGATCCCTGCCACCAGGATATGTTGGCTGTTGCATCACAGGTGCTCAGAGAACAATTTTTGTTTTTATTAAATGCATCTGTCTTCTAAATATATCTTTCACGTACTTTAGGTAGAAGCTTTACAATTTTAGATGAGTCTATGAAAATATTGATCATTTCTAAATTAGTTATCACTTTAGCTGGTAGGTGTTGTCTACTATTTTATTTACATATTTTATTTTTGAAAGAGCGCACAGGTAGCCCTGAGTATTATTTTGCTTTTGACAAAACACAAAGGTAGTCCTAATTTCACTTCTATTCATTATTTATAAAATACCTTGATGAAAGCCGCTTTGAAGGGAAAGAGCTTATTTTATCTCAAATACCATGTTTGCAGGAACTTGAATCAGTTAGTGACAATAACAGTTAAGAGCGAATGAATTCATGCATGCTGACTACTCAGCCCACTTCATCTACTCATGTACTGCTCAGGGCCCAAACCAAGGAATGGTGCTACCCTTAGTGGGTTGAATCTTCCCATATCAATTAATATAGTAAAGACAATCCCCCATAGGCATGAGAACAAACTAAGCTGATCTAGACAATCCCTCGGTGACATTCTTTCTAGGTGATTCTAGAGCATATCCAGTTGACAAGTAAGACTAATCATCATCTATTACTACCACCATTTTTACTTTGATATAAAAACAATTTAGAATTTCTGTGGTTGCGTAGAACTTTCCTTCTGCCAGTTTTTAACTTGGGCTGTAAGATGAGTTCTTCATAGTGTACACGGGATGGCTCCACCATCTAGTTTTACATAGCATTCTAAATCTGGGAAACTATGGCTGGGTCTTTCCCCAGAAACATCCCTGCCCAAGTCCAGAGATCATTGGCCTCCTCTACTTTAACTTACCCATGTCAGAGAGTTCATAGGTTAACTTGGTGTAAATTGCTTTCCTTGATGAGTATCAAAGTCAAAGAGAACATGAAAGGATTGGTCTTTTCTTCAGAGACCTAGCACTCTTTCTGAAGAGAAATCTGAAAACTGCAGGAGGTTCCTTGATTATTCACTGTTTATTTTAATTGACAGCTCTCTGTGAGTCCAACATGTAGATGAATCAGATCAAAGCAAACATATGCTGCTTTACAAAATCGATGTTTAATAATACTTATCTGGTAACCATGCAGAACTGCATTGACTATTTTAAGCTCAAGATATGAAATTGAAAGGTACATTAATCTATCCTCTTTTGGTTTGGGTTTGAAAACTTCCTGCCATGTCACATGCCCAATGACTGTGTGACTCAAAACAGGTTCTCCCTCTAGTCACTTCAGATTGTTATTGTTATATTTCTATCAGCAGTTTTACTTCTGATCAAATTTCACCAGTTGCCTAAAATTATTTTTTTTTAAGAAAAAGAACCATAAACATCAAATCACTCAATTGCATAAACTGAGGTGCTTGAACTCAGGCCTAGAGTCATTTATGAAAACATTCAATACGAAGTCTTTCTAGCTATAGACTGCCACAACTACCACATGGTAGAGCTTTAAGAAACACCATTTTCCTTGCCATCCCTGTGAGGAGCTGTCCTGCAGTGTGCTGCACAGGTCTCCCCCTTATTTGTGCGTTTGTGGGTGGGGTCTGAGTGGAGGCAGATTGATTTGAGATGATGGTTGCCTAAGTGATAGCTGCAAAACAGCAGCCTCTAGACTCTGAGAGTTGCCTGGACAGACAGGCTCTTGCTTACCTGAACTGTGGTTTCCTGCCAACAAGGTGGGGCTCACAGAGCATCTGCCCATTCTGCTGGTGACCACAGGTGGACCTGGGGTTCCGTCCCATTCTTGAGCTTTCATTGGCTCTCTGGAGGAAGCTGCTCCTCCGTGATGACCTCTCTCTTTGCTGTCCAACTTTGGTAATGGCTCCGTGCTGTGGCTTCGGACTTTCAGCTCCTCAGTGGATTCTGTGGATTAACAACATTACTTGTTATTTGAGAATTAATCCTCCCCAAAAATCATTTTTAGAAACTCAACTGAAATGTCCTTCTCAAGTACTTGTAAGATAGTTGTTGAAAAAATGGATTGTACTGGAGACCCTGGTTTTTAAAATATAGCAGAGAAATAGGTCCCCTGCAGGATTTTCTTTTTCTCCAAGATATGGGTACCTTAGTATCACCAGAAAGAAAATCATTTTCTCTTTTGATATACAATACCTCAATGAATCTTGACTCTTTTTTATCAACTCTCCTTTGATTTCATCTTTAAGGATGTTACATTCCTTCCCACTTTCTAGTCCCTCGCCTTTCCTTTACTGTGCTGTGCTATGAACTCAACCCAACCATTCTCTAGCACAGCTTTTGCTGAGCAAATACAGTAGGTTTTATTAGGTGAGATATTTACCACAGTTCCTAATGATTGGCCAATCTTCTACCACTTGTTTTTATGTATTCAATTCATTCCATTTCACAGATCCTTCCTTTTCCTGCATTTGTTCTATATGAAACCCCTTTTGTATGTCATCTGCAATTTTCTTTTTCAACACATCCTTTACACACTGGTCATCTCTAAGGCACTAGCTGAGACGCTCTCCTTATTCACTATAGATGCTTTGTACGATTTTTATCCTTCTAGTTTCAACAAAATCTCATCTACTTCTTAAAGATTTCCCAAACTTTTTATCAAAAGACAAGACCTTTCTCCTTAGTGCCAGGTTCATTATCTAATGGATACCTTATAGATAACACAAATTTAACATTTCAGGTACTGTACAGACATTTCTTACTCAACTGATAGCTATTCTTGTCCATCCATCCATCCATGCTAAGAGATTGTCTGTTCTTGTCTTTAACTGCTAAAGCCCAAATTCAAATCCATCAGTCAGAAAAGTCTCCTGACTCTTTGTGAGACTTTTTCTTGTCCTTCTCTACTTGGTATCAAGTTTGCCTCAACAACACTAGTTGAAGCTTTAGTTTTGTCTCTTGAATTATCACAACTAGCTTCCTTGATCTTGTCTTTGATAGCTAAGGTACAAGTTATAGCATCCGTTTATAATACAAACTTGATCATAATGTACTCCTGACAGGAATACTTTGAGAAGTCGCCTGTTCACAGCACAATACCTGAGTCCTGATTAGTGTCTGCCATATTGTCCTTCCCTTTCTCTCTAACATAACTCTCTCATAATTGTTGTACCCAAGGAACAATTTCAAAATGATCATAGCTTATGTCACCCTCTTCCGTGCCTGATCAAAACAATGTTGCCTTCTACAACTTCAACCTCTTTGCTCTGACTACCCTTAAATCTTGTGTTTGCTCTAGTTGAGCAAATCAACTGATGCTCAGTAACTTCAGTGTCTTCTAAAGCTTCACTGCCCCCGTGGTCATGTCTTCCAGTCATCTGTATATTAACATAACATATTGTCTTTCCACATGTTTAGTTTGCCCCCAAACTCCAAATTCTTGAAAGTCACATGCTTTGGTTTTTTGTTTTCAGAACTGGTTCCCCTAGCAGCAAGCATCCTGTTTAATAGATATTTTACTTACTTTGTTTAGCACATTTGTGAAATCTTCAATCATCTTTCTGCTATGTATAGGCAATAGAATATTTCTAAAGGAACCGGAGAATCAAGTGATGATGAATGTACTAAAGTGATGTGATCTTGGTAGCATTTTTTTAATCTGATCATTTGATAATAGTAATATATAAAATTCATAAAATTAGAAGTTTAATTTCATATAAAGATTTTTTTGTTAAATAAATGGTAATAATTTTAAAAACTATTTTTGTTTTCTTGTCATTTAATTTAGCTTCAAATGTTTCTCAGCTTTCAACAGGGTTAAACACAAATGTCACGATTGGTTCCTCATTATCTCGCTGTATGGAGAAAAGGACAGGCTTCTGTGTATTGAGCAGCAATGGTCAGGGTTCTGAGGGCCTCCCAGGGCTCCACTTGGCAGTGTTAGCAAGCAGTAATTATAGAGAGAAAAGGGAAGTGGTAGACAGAAATAGCCCAGTTGGTAATAGGGCCTGATTTGGATGTGCTGTGGCAGTTGCAGCTTGTGATTGGCTGCAATGATTGGTCAACAGGCTGCTATTTGTTGCAAGGGGATGCTGTTAAGTGAGGGTGCAGTTTGTTTGCACAGTTAGATTATAGAGAAGCACCTGTGGGCCAGATTTAATTTCACATTTTTTGCTGTTTTGCTCTCCCATTCCTCTGCCTGCTGTGAGTCTCTGCCAAATGAAAGCCCTGAATAAACAGCCTTTCTGTTCTCATTGGCCTGGTCTGGTCTTTCATTTTCACACTGCCCTAGCCTCTTCCAGCTCCAAGAAACCATGCAGCTATATAAATACAAGAATTTCACTTTGTGAGACAAACAAACCAGGAAAGTAGTCCAATCTAATCAAAATAGCAGAAAGAGTTCATGTCTCTAAAGACACTTGTTATAAAGTTACAGTTACACTGAACTTGAATATAAGAAGTCAAAATATTTTAAGGGTAACATACTTAATCATAATCATTAGGACAAGAGCATTTAACCAACACTTGCTATTCAGTGTCCTGAAACAAATGGAGTTAAACCAGCACCAGACATGATCAGCATAGGCCATTCCTAAGCTGTTTGTTCACAGTCTCAAAAAAAAAAAAAAAAAAGAAGCAACTCTGGCTTCTGAATGTCACTGCCTCAAATCCAAGGGCCCATCTGTTTCACCCAAATTTTTCTTCCACAGTTTAACTCAATGACTTAAGTGCTTGTGCTGTTATTTGCTTAGGAAATTAGACTCCCCTCCTCCCCTCCATCTCTTCTGTCCTTCCTGTCTCCCTCCACCTTCTCTTTAATAACTTGCCACATATACAAGAGCCTCTGGAGTTGGAACTAGTCCAAAGATAAACAAATAGATAAAGAGCTCAAACTTAAAGCTGCATCCAATACTGACATTTTAAATATGGAAGGAGAAGATTTGTGTAAAGGCATCTCCACCAAAGTCTGTTACTTTATTCTTGTTCACATCATTCTACTACAAATATCAGTGGTATATCATTTAAGCCTCAACTATTTAAAAGTCCAATACTGCTTTGGGAAAAAAAAAAGCAACAGTATTTTTCTTCTTTTTATGCTTCTCTGTTTGTAAGTGCCAAGGGTTAGTTTCAGTTAATTTTGGCAAGTGTATTTAGAGAAACTTGCACAAAAGGATTGAAGAGTCTGCAGTGCTCAGGTTTAAATGTATGTACCTTCATGTATGCTTTTCAATTAGAAAGTAGAGACAAAATATTAGAAAATATTCTTTTCTTAACAACCTTTTTCTGTTCTCTTCTTTTTATATTTAAAAAATGTTTTTCATTTTACATACCATCCCCAGTTCCCCCTCCCTCCCCTTCCCCTGCCCCCCACCTTTCCCCTATCCCAGCCCCCATCCATTCCTCAGAGTAAGGCCTCCCTTGGGTAGTTAACAAAGTCTGGCATACCAAATTGAGGCAGGGACTAGCCCCTCCCCGCTACATCAAGGCAGAGCAAGGTATCTCACAAAAGGGAATGGACTCCAAAAAGCCAGTTCATGCATCTGGGATAAGTCAGGGCCCCCACAAACAGATCAAGCCCCACAACTGTCCCCCACATTCAGAGGGCCTAGTTCTGTCCCATGCAGGTTTCCCAGCTGTCAGTCCAAAGCTCATGAGCTCCCATTAGCTAGGGTCAGCTGTCTCTGTGGTTTTCCCCATCATGATCTTGACCCCCTACCCACTTGCTCCTATGATCCCTCCTCCCTCTCTTCAACTGCTCTCCAGGAGCTCAGCCCAGTGCTTGGCTGTGGATCACTGCATCTGCTTCCATCAGTTGCTGGATGTAGGTTCTACAATGACAATTAGGGTAGTCACTAATCTGATTACAGGGTAAGGCCAGTTCAGGTATCCTATCCACTGTTGCTAGGAGTCTTAGCTGGGGTCAACTTTGTGGAATCCTGGAAACCAGGTTTCTCCATTACCCATAATATAAGTGTATTCTTGAGCTTTTATTTTGTAATAAATCTTTCCCCATGTACATATTTAAGAGCTGCTTTCAAAACCAAGTAAGTTTCTCATTAAAATAAAGACACAACCCTTTAAAATAACTGTCAAAGAAGAGACAGGTGGAAAGTGGACAACAGAATTAAGAACTAATTGGACTTACACAATCAGATTAAAAACTATGCAATTAAGAAATAGTGCAGGTTCAAAGAAATCTATTCAAGAAATAAAGACAATTACCCATATCCAAATATTTTGATGTTATTTAAAATCAGATGAAACCAATTTTGAATTTAGTAACATAAACTATCCACAAGATTCTTCTTATACACGGTGTGGAAACTTTTTACAGAATCATAGTGTCTCAGTGCCCTATATAGCAGCCCCCATTTGTAGAAAATTAATGACTGTGTTCTATATACCCTGTTGATCCAATGAATGACTGTGCTAATGGTGATTGGGTAACTGATATTTATTTCTTATATTTCTACAGCCTGAAAGTCCATGACAGGAAGGCTCACAACTATCGAGGGCCTTCAGTGTGTCAGCATCCCTTGACAGAAGGCAGCAGGGAAAGAAAACAAGCAAGAAAGAGGGAGGGGAAGGTAGAGGGAGGGAGGGGAAGGACAGTGAGAGAAGAGGGGAGGACAAAGGAGGACAAAGGTAGAAATAGAGAGACAGAAGCAAACTCATCTTTTATAAGAAACACACTTGCATGATAATTAAGCCACGCCTGTGACACAGCATTAATCCATTCACAGGGGAGAAAGTCTCAAGGCCTCACCAATCATTACTACTGATAGAGGATTTAGGAGGGGACACGTGTCAATCATGATTTAGGAGGGGACACATGTCAATCACACCAGTGTGCTTGTTTCTGAAGCAATTCTGAACCAACTTCTTTGTTTTTTTAGATAAACACCCTGGTGAATCCATAGTAAGGTCACCTGTCTCCCCTTGAT